TGATTTCGTGCGTTCAGACGCGAGAGCGACAGCTTCGAAAATGACAGTCGATCATGATCGTGAACAAGCGTATCGATACCACGTCGGTATAGCGTCGGTATAATAAAGTTAGATGAAAGTTACATCGAATAACGAATGAAAAAATCTGAATTATTGTTGAATTATCACTGGTTAATGGATAAGAAATAAAGAAATTAGTCCTTACTCACGTAATCAGAATAAGTCGAATTTATTCGATACATTTATTTGTTATCGCAAAGAAACAATAGATAAAATATGGAAAATTATTCTCGTTAGATATTGTGATGATGAAAAAGAACCAGTTAAGAGAAATAGAACAATGGACGCTTTGCCGTTAAATTACAAAATTCGTCTCAAGACATTTTTAAGCTTTCTAGATTTTGTAAGAAGGCTACTTATTAAAAAAAAAAGTAAGTTATATAAATTTGAAAGGTAGGATTCTTACTGATGGCATAAATAAATCACCATACAGAAATTCTCAAAAAACGCTCAAGTAACTTCATTGTTATCTTTCATTATTAGTTTTTATTATCACTTTTCTCTGTCACTTTTTACTAATTTTCACGAATTTTCAGTGTTAGTCCGACACATAAATAGGACGAATAAAAACACGTGAACGAATATTCATAAATAATTTACACTATATTATCTTGAAAGCAAGAAAACAGAATTTTCGGTTAGAAACAATGATACATTTTATTTCGACATGTTTCTTTCGACAATAAACGACGATTGTCGATCGACGCCGCAGTCGTCCAACAGATCATCGTTGCATGGCAACTCGTCGACGATCGGAACAATAATACGCGATAAAGCTTTTGTGCTAAACTAAACAAATCTCTTGAGGAGACAACTAAAATGATTCGTGAGGCTTATGGGGACTCTGTTCTGTCGTGTTCACAAGTTTCGAGGTGGTTAAAAGCCTTTAAGGAAGGACGGGAAGAGGTTCACAACGATCAACGCTCTGGGCGGCCACCAACCAGCAAAACAGTCCGTCAAACAGTCCATAAAGAATTTCTTCTTGAAGAACAGATAGTTAACACCGCCTACTACGTGGATGTGTTGGAAAGACTGCAAAAAAGGGTCATCAGGACGAGACAACACATCTCCGCTACGTGGATAGCGCATCACGACAACGCGCTTTGCCACAACGCGCTGCGTGTACGTAAGTTTCTGACCCAAAACAAGGTGTTAACGCTTCCCCAACCCCCCTATAGTCCTGACCTGGCCCCGGATGACTTTTTTTTTGTTCCCCCGGATCAAGGCACCCTTGAAAAGAACTCGTTTCTCATCGATACAAGAGATCCAAGCGACCGTGACCGAGGCCCTAAAAGAGGTTCCGGAAAACGCATTCCAGGACGCGTACCGTTCATGGCAGGGCCGCTGGCAAAAATGTGTAGAAGCCCAAGGGCAGTACTTTGAAGAATTTTGAGTATTTGTAAAAATTGGTTCAATAAATTTCCTTAAAAAAAATCAATTGCATTACTTTCGGAACATACCATGTATATATAGAAAAAAAATAGCTATACAAGCATGGCCTATGTTCGGCTGTCCAAAGGTTGACATATTCAAGAAAATCTTTTAATTTTGCGCCGCCTCCGAAAAGGTTGAAATGTATTTAATATACTACCTAACGAGTAAATAGGTTTCATTCATATCTGTGACGTAAATGTATGATTAAATGAAATAGAAATTATTTTATACTTTTTAGTGCATTTCGAAGTCGGCGTATTTTTTTTTTTTAAATTATTTTATTATCGTGATTATTTACGGTTTAATGGGTGAGCTACATTTAAATTTGTTAATTATTCAATTCACATTTTTATTTGTTGAATAGAAAAGTTATTCAATTTTTTAAAAATGAGAATTTGTTGTTTTTCATCATTACAATATCTAACGAAAATAATGTTCCATATTTTAGCTATTATTTCTTTGCGATAACAAATAAACGTATTGAATAAATTCGATTTACTTTGATTACGTGAGTAGAGACTAATTTTGTTATTTCTTATTCATGAATGAATGATAATTCAACAATAATCCAGATTTTTTTATTCATTATTCAATGTAAATTTCATCTAACAGCTTTCTATTATACCGACGTTATTCCGACGTTATACCGACAGTATCGATACATTTGTTCACGACGACGATCGGCCGTCATATTCGAAGCTGTCGCTCACGCTGTCGCGCGACCGGTCTATACGCACTCTCATTGGTCAGTGTTTTTCATTAATAATTCAAAAACTAAGCTTTAATCAGCATTTTGGTAAAGGAAAAAGTTGTTCAGAATCACTCCAGCTACCGCCCCCTAAAATTATGCCCACCAGTAGCCGAACACCCTGTATATGGTATTATGTGTTGTATTGCATTTTATAGGTGTTAGAAAATTCCCAATGACCCACCTCAATAAAGCAGGGACGACGCGACGGGCACATGGCCGTCCTACGACGACCACCACGGGGTAGAGGCCTGACGCTGTGTCGTCCGGGCCATAAAACAATCCTGGGGCCTCAAGTTTCACGGGGACTAGGAAACCTCGCGTAACGGGAAGAGGGCATTTGTCTACGGACCTTGGAAAGGCATCCTTCTCTTGAGGACATTACTTCGCCCACGGAATCAGCATATAAAATATATAGTATTTTTGAAATCGAACTCAGCTAGCGCATCAAGCATTTTTCTACCTCGTCTTACATAGGTTTTTTTTTGCGTTCCATTAGATTGACTTTGTATCTTGTAAAGTTCATATATCGTTTAGCGTGAGCACTTTGGTATTGTTAACGTAATTTGTTATTATTTTTATGGTGTTTTTTTTTTAATTGGGTACGGACATACGACATTACCGTATTACGTGTTTCTTATTGTATTTTGATGTTACATTTGTATTTCGTAATTGTTCTAATTACTGGTAGGGAGATACTGTGGCGCCCTTGGCACCACATATGCCATTGCCTTTTCTGTTTTCTATCTTCTTCAGCTTTACGTTCTCTGATTGTTTTCGCTTTCTATAGGGTCTCGCCAGGGCCTGGTCAGTGTCAACGCTCAGGCCCTTGCGAACCTCTTCACTTTCTGTTTTATGATTCTCTTCCGCTGTACCTCTCCTTTTCCGAACTCTTCAACGGTTTTTCTGGATTTTCCCACTTTCTATATTTTCTCTCTTTCTAAACTGTTTCTTTCCTCTTTTACTGATGAGTTTTCGAGGAGAGGTTTTGACCAGCGACATCATCAGTCCGTCAGAGTCGCTCTAATACATTACATCATCTTCCCTGCTCGTACGCATTTAATAAACTTGTGTGGAACGCAACTTAGTCTCGATTATTGTATTAACCTTTATGCGATTCCCACAGAACGTTTTTGAATTTACTTACAGGGAATTACATTTAAAATTATCACAGATTGCAACAGTTTAAAACTGACATTAGAACGGAACGAAATAAATCCACGAATTTTAAGATGGTCTTTGTTTTTGCGGAATTATCAATACACATTAGAACATTGACCAAGAAATAAATTAAAGCATGCTGATGCATTAAGCTCGCTTATGCGAATTTAGTGTATTTGTAATTACGGAAAACAGTTTTGAACGCAATTTAGCAATTTTACAGAACCAGGATCCCCAAATTAAAAAACTACGGGACGAATTACAAAGTAAAGGACATAAACTCTTCAAACTCAATAATGGAATTATTTATAGGAAAGTAAATAATAAATTATTATTTTATGTACCTTCATCGTTGGAGGATAATATAATTTGGACAAACCACGAACAAATTGGGCGTCAAGGCGTGAACAAAACATTAGATTATTTATCTCGAGTTTATTGGTTCCCTGGGAGCAAGGAAAAAGTGAAAAAATTTATAATGAACTGTATAAAATGTATCATGTATTCTACTATTGCGAACAGAGTTGAAGGAAGTTTACAATGTCCGGATAAAGGTTCGGTACCTTTTTGTTGCTTACATATTAATTATTATGATCCTTTAGAACGTACTGGAAATCGTCAAAAGCACATATTCGAAATTATCGATGCATATACAAAATTCGTAAAATTTTACCCAGCAGTTACAACTAATTCTGATGAAGCCGTTAGACATTTCAAAACATATTTTCCAGTTCATAGCAAGCAGCGAAAAATAGTATCAGACCGAAGTAGCGCATATACTTCTTATAAATTTTTAAGAATTTTTAGTAGAAAATGCAATACAACATATTTTAATTGCGACAGTAACTCCACATGCTAACGGATAAATAGAACGAATCAACAGATCTTTAACACCGATGTTAGCGAAATTAAGTACCAACACCAGTACAGGAAATTAGGTATTAGAAGACGTTGAATATGCGTTAAATAATAGTGTAAATCGAGCCATCGGAGATACTCCAAATAGATTATTATCTGGTATAAATCGATTAGGAAATGTTCATAATGATTTATGCATAATTTTAGAAGAACAAGTTACATACGATTGTGATTTAAATGCTATTAGAGAAAAAGCAATTGCGAAAATACAATCATCGAACGAGTATAATAAAAATTATTATGATAAAAAACACAAATCGCCGTCGAAGTATGCAGTAGGAGATTATGTTGTTTATGAAAAACATTGATGTAACACTCAGAGTGAATAAAAAATTGGTCCCTAAATTTAGAGATCCTTACGAAATTGTTAAAATATTAGACAAAAATCAAATTAACTCAATTACCATTCGAAGGTATCTGTTCACCAGAGAACATGAAGATATGGACGAAATTAGGAAAGGGTGATAAAGATAATGACGAATGAGAGTATGTTTGTATATAGTGTATATATTTGTGTTGTTAATTTATTTTGTACACATATGTATAGAATATTCACTGTACCGCGATATGCTTATTTTGTATTTCTTATGTGAACGATTCAACAGAGTATAATTTTTAGATTCCTTTTAAATAATTTACAGCTGTTAAAACACAAAGTACCACAAATGTTTCATCAAAATCGGTAATTATAATTAGGTGATTATCTAGCTCATTATACGAGACTAATAAAAAATTAACTGTATCAACACTACCTCAAAGACAGATTAGATGATAAAAACGAGTTTCTTGGTTGCATAAAGTCCCTGACCGCATTTGACTTTAAATTTTTATTTAAAGGAGAACATTTAACGAAGAATTTTTCTAAGTTGAAATAGTTATGCGCGATATTTGCCTGGCCAAACTTCAAACATTCTGTACTTCAAATTACTAATGTTAAATATAAGAATAATAACAGTAATAGTCTAATTTTTAACCTAAATAAACTGCATCTTTCCGGATTTTATATACATTTACAATTGGTGTGTCGGTCAAAGTAGTCTTGGGTCACGGTTTAATTAAATTATTTGGCAATAAAACAACAGATTCTGAAAAATTGGAACACTATAGAAGAGAATGTCCTCGCTTGTCAAGTAGTTACAAACTCCTTCTTCCTTTGAAAGGAATTACAACATAGATCGATTTTGCAGAAAACACAAATTTATTACAGTATTAAACAATATTTATATATTAACAAAACAGAAGCAACGAGTATTTAAAATAAACAGCTGAGATATTTTCCTGTAGACAAATAACTTTTTTAATACAACGGAACTTCACTCACCTGGATGTACACGACAGGCTGCACAATTTTCCATCAATTGCCGAAGGTGCTGCGTTTCCAATCTCTAAACACAAAGCAGTATATTAATACATACAATATGACTAAAAATTATTTATATGACGTTGTTCACTGCATAGCTCAACAAACTTAAAACAAAATAGTTATGCGCAATTTTCAACAAAATTTAAAAAATTTTTCGTACTATATTCATAAATTGCATATCTGTTACGTAAAATAACTAGGTCTGTTTGATTGAGGCGCTCCGCGCCTAACCTAACAATGTTGAGCAAGCGAGTAAATTTCACGCTAAAGCAAAAATAGTTAAACGTGGACAAAAAAGTTGAAAAGTCAAGTACAAAAGCGCGAGCAAATTCAATTTTGCATTGAAATCTACGGGGATCTGGTTTTTCGGCGATTATTCTTCCGTGGTACGTCCAATTTAAAATTTTCTTTTTCTATGACCATCTGGATGTACATACGCATGTGCGTGCAAAATTTGATGAAAATTGGTTGAGTGGTGCAAAAGAAAAACGCGGACAAAGAAGTTGCAAAGTCAAGTATAAGAGCTTCGCTCGCCTTCGGCTCGCTCGCTCAATAATCTTTTTTACATCCTCCAAAATTTAAGGTCTAATTATATTCAACCGGAACAAGTGTTTGTACACCAGAAGTTTTGAAAGAAATATCAAAGTGCACTGTGTAAAAATACTTTTAATTTAACTAAAAAATATTGTAAAAATACAACTAAAAACTAAACGAATTAGTGCTTATTGCTTGTCCGAGAGTTCGCTCGCAGAAAATTCAAAGTTACAGGAGTACGTATGTGTACAGTACTGTGTCGCAAGTTCGTACGACGTGATTACAAAAATTTTCAAAAGTTTTGATCTATTTTCGGAAAAACACTCCTTTTATGAACTTTGTTAGAGGACTGTCGATGGGAGTGATTTCTCTGATTGGGTTATTTCTTGCGTTCCTGTTTAGCAAGAGGTCGGTCATCTTTTCCGCTATTCGTTTAAAAAATTCACGCCTCCAAAGTCCTGGCAACCCTCAAGTACAGCACAAGTGACGCGGCTGGAAAATTTCAAAATGCTTAACCCTGAAGTCAACCACCTTATGACCCATCCTTATAGGGTGCAGACAGATAAATTTATGGCATCACTAAAGTCATTTAGTTCTTGAAATGATGTTTTTTCTAAACCAATCAATTATTCGTAGCTAACAATAAGTCATCTTCCTGTGTTGCGCGTGTAAATTTACAATGCCTACAATTTCAAACTTTCTAAAATATACAAGCCCAAACAACAAAAATGTGATAAGAACGCATTATTGACTCCACGATCATCCCTCTCTACTACTTTTCACGAAATTCAAATGGGGTCAGTATCATAACAAGATAACAATCTATAACATACGCAACGTATACGACTCTACATTTCATCAATGCATTTTTACATCCCATACGATTTATCTACAAAATTAAAACTGGTTTGAGTTCTTTGCTCATGAATAGTGATTGACGGAAGAATTATTATTTGTTGCACAACATGGAATAATGATCCACAAGAAGTACGACAAAAACCATCAACAACGAAAATGGATGAAAATAAGCTTGTCTCTCATTGAAATAATGCTTTAACATCGGCGGCGATTATGTTGAAAAGTAGCTAACAGTTCGTGCTTTTATTTACAAGGGACATCACAAAGGTATTATACGTAAATTTTAATGAAATTTACATATGTGATAACTTGAAACGAGGTATATTCTTTGCCTCACAACCAGCTACAGAGGAATGCCAGGACTGAAGACCAGCTACCACCCAAAGGGGGGCCCATGAACCTGGTCACCAGGAAGAGCGCGGTGGCCCATTCCTGCGACAAGCTGCGACAAAAAAAGCAGGATGCAGAGATTACGAGGCAGAATTCCTAACTTCGAAGCCATTTCTTCAGTTGAAGGAACGTCTTACGTTCCGGCATATAACGGACTACGACGTAAAATTAATTAATAAATGAATTTTATTTCTTTAACTAATACATAATTTGCATTACTTATGAACGTGAATCTATTTATTAGTAATCTTAAGATTATTTAATATATATATTGTCAAAAGAAGGTATACAGATTTGAAGTGGAAAGCACTTTTTTAAAGGAATGTATCGGTTTTTTATTTTTTTTTAACTAAGGCGCATCTCACCGAAAAATCTAAAAGAATTAGGGAATATCAGTAACGCTAATATACAGGGCGTCTCACAATTAGTGTAGGTCCCGGAAATGGGTGGTAACTGACGCAATTCTGAATAAGATTTCCCTTTGCAAAAATAGGGTTTGAAGCTTCGTTTTTGAATTATTAACCAAAAACACGGACCAAACAGAGCGCGAGAATTACGCGCGCCCAGAAGCGAGAGCAAAAGGTTCGAGCCTAGCAGCTGAACACGATCATGATCAAGTGCCTATGCGACGGGTCAATGTAAAGGTTTAATAAGACGCCCTTACGTCAAATCTCAGTTACATAATGAACAGCATTGTTACAAATATTGTGCACTTATTCGTTTGTCATGAGTAAGGAACAAAATTAGTTTTGTGTAATTAACAAAAGTTGAGTAAATTAAATTTCTATATCTTTAAATTTACATCTAACTAATAAACCAGTAAAATAAGACCCACCAATTATTTAAAAATAATCCTGCTTGATTGAAAATGGATCCTCGTAACTAGATCGTTCTATCGATTGTAACTATTCGT